GGTATGACTAGAGGTCCATCAGAGTCAGCAATATTGACGTTGCCCCTGTAGTTGTCATGCAGTTGTGGGCCTGCTGGACCATGCACCCTCACTGCATCTCCCAATTGATTTTCAGCTAGACCCCGGTTTTCCCCACTAGCTACTCTTGGCTATTGTAACTCAACTGCATCACCAAAATTTACTCTGATAGGAATAACTGGGATTCTTTGATTGTTCATTCTTCGCAAAGGTGGGTTCAACTCTGGATCGTACGGAGTAAGTGGTTCACCCTGGCTCCGTGTACTTGGCATACACTAAAGTCGGAACCTGAGAGAGACAAAATCAAAGAGAAAAAGTAAAATTAGGAAATATTTTACTGAATTTCAATAATGTAGTTAAAATAAATCTAAAAGCCAAATTTGCGCGGCAGCGGCGCCAAAACAAATAAAAGGACTATAAGTCAAAATAAATACTAAAGACAATTTCTAAGCCATATTTCCCGGCAGCGGCGCCATTATTTGATAACGTTCAAATATACCTCTTGAAAAGAAATATAAACGGTCGTATGCAATATATTTACCCAATTATGAGTCGGGGTCAATCCACAGAGAATATGGAAGAATATTGTCAATAGCAAATATTTAACTCGATAGTCGTTATATAAAAAATGGGGGGATTTAAATTGAAATAAAATAAAAACAATAAAAAGATAGCTTTGAACTAAGTATTTATTTATATTCAGATTATTAAAAGTAACTAGGAATGTGTTCCCCATAAGCTCATAACGCGGTAATCCTAATAATAGTAATCCTTTTCTAGTGTATGACATGCAAAGTGATAAGTTAGGTATCTCTATATCCTTGGTCCGGCATCTAGAGAATTTCACCCCGCACCTTGGTCCGGCTACGTGTGTATAATTTACTAACCCTTACATTTGCCTCATATTAGAGATGTGTTAATCGCTTATGGTTCCCACAACCCTATTTATGAAAGTTAGCTACTCATTATCTCAAAAACACAATCAAAATTTATTAAAATAAATATGCTTGTGTTAATCATAGAAAGTTAAGAACAATAGCTAAACTATCTTTTATTAATCACGAATAATACACTAGGTAATAATTACTATTATTAGGATTACCGCGTTATGAGCTTATGGGGAACATATTCCTAGTTACTTAATAATCTGAATATAAATAAATACTTAGTTCAAAGCTATCTTTTTATTGTTTTTATTTTATTTCAATTTAAATCCCCCCATTTTTATATAACGACTATCGAGTTAAATATTTGCTATTGACAATATTCTTCCATATTCTCTGTGGGATCGACCCCGACTCATAGTTGGGTAAATATATTACATACGATCATTTATATTTCTTTTCAAGAGGTATATTTGAACGTTATAAAATAATGGCCGCCTCAATGAATTTGTTGATTCTGCACCGCCATTCATCAATTGGTCAGTGCATTGAGAGACTGCCACGTGGCAGCTTATTCATTCAACCTAAATCTTTTGCAATTCGCAATATGCCCCTTTTATATAAATATAATATTTTATTCACTTTAATCCATTATGTTGCCTGTTTGATTTCCTTCTTGAACCTTCAATCTTTAATTCGTTTTAGCTCCAAACTTCTCCAATTTTTCACCAATTTAATCATACAAATAAAGTACAAAATTTAGCACAATCCATCAAATTAATGCTCAAAAAGGACAAATATAAATAATAAATGTGAGGAAATAATGATTATAAATATGTATTTTTAGCCTCACATCAACACCCCACATTTAAACTTTTGTTCGTCCTCGAGGAAACATTAAAACTCATCCCAAGAAAATAAATCATACTAGCTATGTCATCACTTTGGTTAATACAAACAATTAGGCCATATATCAATTTCAAAACATCATGTAGGTTTCTCAATCATTATGCAAGACATTCAAATAAACAACAAACCTCTAACCTCCTAACCTCAAAGAAAGACTTTGAACTCATCAAATTTAAGTATGCTCACCTACTCTCATCAAAGAAAGTTAATAAAATCACATATCTATCATGAAACAAGTGCCCTCACAAGAAGATATAGTCCACACACTCAAATCAAAAGATTGAATATGAATTAAGGACTTGGCCCTCAACCTTTACCTCTTCAAGTTGACTTATAAGTATTTTTTCTTCCTCACACATATTATTACTAAATTGTTGGGTGTCATATGATTTAATTTCTAAGCCATATTACAGATATAAAATCACGAAAGCTAAACTCGGAGTCTTATGTATATGCCCCATCGAGAGGACCCAATATACCTTGTCAGGGCAATAAAGGCATGACTGGCGTGATCACTAAATTTGATGCCTAAAAGAGGTGACTTATACCAATGGGGCATGTAGTTCTAGGACTATGAGGGTATGCTAAACCCTAGTCCAACTCGGTGCTAAGACTCACCAACTGGAATTGTGTATGACACAACATAACTGAAATACTGGATAACTCAATATTGTTACATGCAAGTCTGAGAATGCAACATGTAAGTACGGACAATGGAACATTCGAAAACTGGAGCATGTTTATCTCTTTAACTGACCTAGCAAGTGTAATGCATGAACTAAGAGAATCTACACAACTAGGATTTTGAGTTTCTTGCAAGGAACTAAGCAAACTTTCCAAGAAAACATGATAATTCGATTACGAATAGTACAAGAGCTAAATCACAACAATTATCCAAGGTTTTAGAAACCCTAGGTCTAAGCAAGATCAAGCGCATCAAGAATCTAAATGAATTCTATGGACCTAGTGTATGAAAGGAATTCATAAGTGAAATCCCACATAACTATTGACGAAATCTTACAGAGAAATCCTTCGATGTTGGGGTTGAAACTTGAAACAAACTTTCTGATAGTTCTTAGGAAACTGTCACTTTTTTCTTTTTTTTTTTCTCTAAGTTTGGGTGATTTTTTGTGTATATAGGTTTTGGGTATGTCTCACTTTTTATTAGGCTTAAACTTAGTAATCCGACATAGTTTAAGCATTAAACAACATATTTTAAGGGCCCCAATGCATAGAAAAAATACATAAATGAGCCTAACTTTAAAACTGACGAAGGTCATCCACAGAGGAACCTACTGACCGTCGGTTGACCTACCAACCGTCGATAGGGGTTGTCGGTCAAGATTTAACCAACAGGGTTTCACTAAAACAAGCATAACTTTTTACTCCGAGATGGGATTTTAGCAAACTGGGTGGCATTGGAAAGAGGATTCAAATATATTTCATTTGATAGGTCATGGGCTACGTAATTTATTTTGTGCTAAATGATATGACTATTTGAAGTTGACCCTACAACTAATTCCCTCTAATTGGATACTGACCTCACCTAAGATCTATAGGTCCAACCACGGACTGTCCTGGATGACCGTCGGTGGGGTCAGAGATCATAAATATTTGGTGCCCAATGATGTACCCCACCTACGGATTGTGTGTCAGACCACAGATTGTATGTGGCTTCTGTGGTCCTTGCACTAGGTCTGGAAAGCTATATTTTTTTTTCTATTTTCTCATATCTGAGGTATTGCAATATCTCCCCCTTGAGACATTCATCCTCGAATGAAGTCTAAACAAGCTGAGTAAGGAGGGAAGGAGATGCAATCCCTATCACTAAGTACTAGAAACTCAAATCTAACTGAACTGAGTTCCAAGAATCATGCAAGTATGCTAAAATGCAAGAATAACTAAGGGAACAAGATATAGAGACTTAATTACCCAAGAGTAAGCTTAGGGACTGGAGAGGAAATATTACCTTAAGTGGAAATATAATCGGAAGGAAAAAGGTGAGGATATTTGGCCATCATGGCTGATTCTGCTTCCCAAGTAGCTCTATCTACGAATTGACTGATCCACAAACCTTCACTAAAGTGACTTCCTTATTTCTCAACCTACGAACCTTATGATAAAGAATCTCAACTGAAACCTCTTCATAAGTGAGACTACCCTTCACAATCAAACTCTTTAATGGTACTATTTATGTCAGATCACCCACATACTTCTTCAACAAGGAAATGTTAATCTCTTGAGTCATTCCTTCTGGTATCTGGTGTTCTACCTTAACTTGCTGAAAGTTAGGAGACCTAGCCACAAAGTCTTCTATATCCCTTTCCATACCATTCCACCAAAAAATGTTCTATAGATCACGGTACGTCTTAGTGGCACCTGGATGAATAGAATACCGTGATTTATGGGCTTCTGTAAGGATCTGATGCATCAACTCACCTACCTTAGGAACATGTAAGTGACCCTAGTAACAAAGCACACCATCTCCCGCTTAGGATAAAACCTCAACTTTTTCTTGATGAAATGCACCCTTCAACCGAAGCAATATAGGATCACTATCTTGTTTTTCCTTAACCTCTGCTATGAATGAAAATTCTGATCCAATCTGAACTATCAAACCACCATCTGATGTGTCTGTAAGGCATACTCCTAAGCGAGCAAACCGGTGGACATCTTTGGCTAACTCTTTCTTTTCTTCCTCAACATGTGCTACACTACCCATAGATAGTCTGTTGAGAGCATCAGCTACTACATTGGCCGTACCAGGATAATAAAGCACATTAATGTCACTACAATAAATTTGACCTATGGCAACACTAATTCTACAGAACGCTTAAAAAGTATTGCAAAAAGTATCTAAGAGCACACTTTTAAAGCATGACCTTTATATCGAACTTTTGGCCACATAAATATTGGCAACACTTTGAAAGTGTGCTCTTTAAAATTATAGGTTACACTTAATAAGCGTTGCCAAATCATAGAACAATTGTCAACACTTATTTATATATATAGCCACACTTTAAATTGTGCTATATTTTTAAGTCCAAAAACAACACTTTATAAGTGTGTCGTATTAATTCTCATAAATTTTTTTTGCAATAACGAGTCCCCCCTCCATATAATTTTCCCCCAATTTCTAAAATATAAGACCACAATGGGATATAGTATCATTTTTGGCTAAAATTATGAAATTCCTCTGTAATATTTATCTCCCACATTTTCTAGAAACAAAGACCTAAACTTCATTCTCAAAGAAGTTTGCTCCATCTCTTCAATTAAGCGCCCTTTCTAGATTCTCCTCTCTTATGTGATAATGCAATTTATGACCTAGAAATTTCATTCATGCTAACCCTTAAGTCTATATGTTTGGTTGAAAAATGTGTTGGGATTTTGGTTTTTTCAGGAAATGGAAAGAAAACAAGGTTTCTTCTCGGCATATAAGGAAGAGGTTGTGTGTGGGTTATCGTCGGAAGTTCTTGAGCGAAGATTCCGTTGAGAAGTGGGTCATCCATTACTAGTTTTATTCGTAGGAAGAAGATCTCGCTTCATCAACTCTGTTTCAGGTAGGGTTTCGGTATTTCTCACAAGTTTGAGAAATTTCTGAAGTTTTCACAACTTCACAACCTTTTGTGATAGTGTATGTGTGTGTGAAAGAGGAACTGTTCTTAGTGTGAATTTCTGAAGGAGAATTAGAACTTCGAGTTAAATCTCTTCTAGTTTTTAATATATTTTGATATATTTATATATATGATTTGTTAAGTAATTCCTATTTCTACTTGTTTCAAATTTTGTAGAATTGAAGCTGAAATTAAGAATCAATATTTTCAATTTGTGTTCTACTGGTTTCTAAGTATTGTAATTGAGTTCCTTTTTTTATGAACTTTGCTAATTGTTATAGGTGTTTTATGCTTTTGTCTTTAAATGGTTTGATTGTTTCTTTAGTTTTTGGAGTTTGGGAGTAATTAGTATGATTTGTTTGAAATGAGGGAAGAACAGTCAGAAAATTAAATTGTGTTCATTGTTACGAATTTGTTATACACTTGTGCAATCATATCTATAGACATGTTGGCTACTCGAGTGAACTGAAATCATCTTATTGCTACTGTTCAGTTATATGGTTAGTGAGGATTACACTTGAGTATATAGTTTGAAGGCGAGTTGCTTGATTATAGTAGGTTATTTCTGTAGGTATATTAAGGAATTCAAGGTTGTTCTATAAGTTGTAGCTACAATTTCTCATGTTGCTTGAAGTTGCGATACAATTCAGTTTTTTATGTTTTTGAGCTGAGCTTCTTGTGATTGTCGTTATGCAATCTGAATACAAAAGAGAATTTTGCAGCTGAATGTTGTTTTTATTTTCTTTGTTGATTGATTTAGTTAAGAAGTTGTTGCGATAAAACATGTATTTTGTTGCTGCTCTAACTGAGTATTGATTTGAAAATTTTAGATTGTTAGTTACTTTTGCGAAATTTAAACCCTTGTGAAGGCTTATGTAATGGTACACGATTTGTATGCTGTGATTTTAAAACACATGTTATAAGCTGTAGAATTGCAAGTGGTGATTTCAAGGATAAACATGTTTTTATTCCAAGAGTACCATTGCTATCATCAGAGGATGAAAAAATACCTATTCCTTTTAAAAGAACACAATTTCCTATGTGTCTATGCTTCACGATGACTATAAGTAAAGTAGAGGGACAAACATTAGATTATGTTGGTATCTATTTACGTGAACCAGTTTTTTCCCACGGTCAATTATGACTATAAATTGATACATGTTGTTTCTTGTCATTCTTGAATAGGCCAAATTCTACACAGGAAAATTTATAGATGTATCTTCTTGTCATTCTTAAATAGGCTTGATATATTTGATAAACTAATTGTAAATGTAAAAATTTGTTGTTTGATGTTCCTACAGTTAGCAACACTCATAATCCTAGTACTGGTGGTGGTGATTTCCATGACTTTACCAGAGCATCACACAATTTTAACAAGCTGAAAATTAAAAGTTCTATGTCTGATCAAGAACATGCGGAAGCTCAAATGGCCATAGTGGTGATGCAGGCGACAATCTTTACTTGAAATCTTCTAAATAGGGAAATCAAGTTTCCTGTATATTAAGGTAAAAGTTATAAGATTTATTTTCTTATCAGTGAATAATTTTGAACTTAAAAAATTAGCACTTACGAATTTTTTTTATCGAATTTGTTGTAAAAAAACACAAATCTCTTATGCTTTTGAACTTTTGGACTTGGTATCTCAAATGTTTTAAACTTTCAGTTTCTAAATATCATGTAAATTTGTTAAGCCATTTTAGTTTTCATTTGCTGCAGAATGACTTTTTCAAAACCTACAAATGTATCACCCAATAAAATAGTTTAACATTGTATTACTGCTTACATCTTCATTAGTTTTTACTTTTGATATATCTCAATCCAGCTAGTTGTCCTGGCTCTCGGTACTTTGAGAATCTGTATAACTACTACACAACCGAAAAGGTTCTCTCACTTTTGAATCACAGAATCTTTATTCCATTTATACAAAATGGTCATCAATTTTTGACTCTTAAGATGGTGTAGTTGATGCTTTATCCTTCAATTTCTACTATGTCGGTAGGCTGACAGTGAATGCTACATTTATTATTTTGTAAGTAATACGATTTACTTATTTAGTTTGTATAAATGCTAGCATCTTGGTTTAATTGTCGGACTATATAATGATTATTTCATGATAATGCTTTCATATAGACTCAACACTGCATCGGAAGTTGATATGATTAACTTGCTATGTACATGTATCTAATGACTGGATGTTGCCTTTATATCCAATTAATAGAAAACTACGCCGTAATCATAGGTCATCAGTAGTAAGGGCTACATTCCATTTCATGACGGTAAGTACTTGCGTTAGTTACTTCCTCTATGCTTATAACCTCTGCAAACTATTTTTACAAGTGTTACACTTGCAGGTGAAAAGACATCATACACTTGGATGAAGGCATGGTCTTGTTAAGGAGATCGACCATCTATCCTTACTTTGCATTCTTATGCCAGAGTTTCACCATTTTGATTTTGGAGCGATTTCCTCTATGATGAATTTGGAGAGTTAACAGAAAGAAAATAGTGGAAACAACCTTGCATTATGTAACAAGTCGAAAGAAAATGTTGTAATGAGAATATTGGTACTTCATTACTGTCTACAGACTCAGCTTCTGATGTCTAATTGTGGAGAAGCAACATTATCTTCTTCAAAGCGGTATTTTCACCGCAACTCGCTTAGTTACTTTTTTTGGTTAATTTTGTTAACACAAAGTGAAAAACAAAGACCTGCTAGCATGAATTTGATTTAAATTTTCAGCATCTAAAGGTAATAGGCAGCAACTTTCCAATACCATATGTAAATTATGCATTACTGGTAAATTATTCCCACATATGATCCAACCCTTCACCGTGCATAGCAGAAGCTTAGTGCACCAACCTGCCCTTTCATTGCATTATTATTATCTCTCTATGATTTTTGTTTTTTCTTTTGTATTCCACAGGCAAATGGTGGCTTTATGATGAATTCAAATAATAATCCTGGTAGTCAGAGTGCTTCTCAGATGGAAACCATCATATTGTCCCTGTCTTCTTCACAGTGATTCCTCTATGCTTAACTCTGATATTTTTATCTCAAGGTTTGTTCCTTTGTTCAGTTAATGCTTTTGTATTATTTCTGACCACACATCCTTCAATCCTTAATGGATTTCTGCCAACTCTATTTTCTGTTGCTTTCTTGCAGAAAATACAAATTAGCGGTTAATACTTGTACCCTGTAAACTCAAACAAGTTGGGTTAACAACTTATTTATCTGATATTTTGCAATTGATGAAACCTCCTCAGGAGAAAATTAATATGTTCATCGTTTTAAGTTTGTTTTAAATCAGGTTAATCTCGAAATGGCTGTCATTTTTCTTTGCTACGCCAATATTAGAAAACTAAAAATTTCCAGCTTGAGTATGAGGTTTGCTCTATTTGGTTGGTTAATGAAATAAGGATTACAAATTTCAAAAATGTGATTCTGGATAGAAATTTATTGGTTCTCTTTTCCACTCAAAGTTTATAGCTTTAAGGTGTCTTTGCCTTCTTGTTGATTCATTAGCAGCTTTTCAGAATTGTACACTACACCATTTTAGGTCTACAGCCACAATAATATTTCACCTGTTGATGCAAGTAGCGCACAAACTGTAAGAGCAAAAAATATTCCACATTCTTCAGGGTCAACTCATGATTTGGTTCTTCAAAAGGTATTTTCTTGGTTCCTTAAGGCTTTTCTCTCACTTTCTGTCCTCTGGAACCTCTCAACTGTATTTTCCTCAACTTTGTCTAGTTGTTCTTGTTGGCTGTTAGTTTGATCTTGCACAACAAGATCATTATAGTTATTATGAGTAGAAATAGTAGATTTGGTTGCTGATTTGTATGTGTAGTTATGGCACCATCCGTTTATAATCACTGTCAATCACTAGAGAATCAACATAAATATTTTAGATATTTCTAGCAAAGTGCCCTGCCAAAAAATTGTGATCAATGGTGTGTTTTACTGATTTATAGCAGCAGAAACACTTGAAACGTTGTGGACCAAAATTGTGAGCTTGTTTCTTTTCTCTGTAATATGATCCCAAGTAGATGAGCATGTGAATTCTACATTTGCGTTGGGTTTCTAGATTGGTTGATTATAAACCATGGGCTGGTAGTGAATTTTAGTCGCAAGAATGGTCCGGACAAGATCCGGAGGTGCAGTTTGATTGACAGTTTTCTGTTAAAGTTACACACTTTTTCTGTTAAAGTTGCACACTGGAAATCTGGAATCTGAAATCTAAAAATCTGGAAATCTGGAATCTGGAAATCCATCAGGTTTTGAAATGAAAATGAATATTGAGGATTCATATAGCTAAAGCAACTAGTTTTGAATTGATGTATAGTTGTTGTTTTATAAGGTTCCATGCTTATCTTTAACATCTAGAATTCATATAGCTAAACATCTACTTTTGATGTCTTTTTCAAATCAACTCAACAAGCAGCTGACTCATTTTGTGTCCCTTCCAAAGCATTATTTTCCAGAAGGAAATAATAAAAAAACCTAGAAAGGTTTTTGTAAGTTGTAACTTCTAGATTTCTGGTAAGTTAATGGATATGCATTCCCTGAAACTTTGGTCTTAGTATCATCTGTTCTCTCATAACATTAAGATCTATTAGGCCATCATCAAGAAAATTCAAGTTTATATCTTAGACAAATTAGCAAAGGAGGCATACGGCATCTGTGCATGATATGCTTTAGGTAAATTCAACTAGGAATGACTAAAACTTTTAAAAACTAGGATAGGGGAATAGAAAATAGGAGAGTGGAAATAAGATGCTAATGTTGAGTGTGAGCATACCTGTCAAAGCAGAGTTGAAATACAAGGAAATTACCACCCATTAAATGCAATAACAATATTAACAGCTCCTCTGTTTTTTTATAACTGTGTGATTATGAGGGTGTTGTTGGAAAAATAGTGCAGCTTCACAAATTGGACCACATCTTTCCGTAAAATTTAAAATCCAGAACTGTTGTGCAATGTGGAATGTGGAACTCTTTGCCTCTTCTATAATTGTTGCAATCTGATTTTGTCGTAAAATTCTAAATGTGTAGGGAAATGGAGGTGATCAAATTTGAAGGGTCTCGACAAGTCAATTTGAGCTCATTGAAGTGGCTGATGAAGTATTTTTGAACCATTGTAAAAGTTTGAATACATTATGTTTGATTTTGTGAAATATATTCTTTGCTAGAATATATTGAACTATTGTAAGAGTGCTTTTCGAACAATTGTTTACACATTTAGAATATTGTTGTATAAGTATGTGCAAGTACACAAGACGTACTCTCTTCTGATGTTTATTGCAAATCTATATATTTGAATTACTTATGAGCCAATTTAATGCTTGAGATTATTTATTGCAAAATAATATTGGTGTTTTTTAATTAGAAATTGTGGCATATAAATATTTTATAGCCAAAATGATATGGTCACACTTAAAAGTGTAGTCATAGGACTGTAAATTCTGGTATGCACATGGGCAAGAACTACACTTCAAAGTGTAGTCATACATTAGATAGAAAAGGCAACACTT